GAGAGAGAGAGAGAGAAGGGGGAGGGGAGGGGGGAGAAAGGTGAATGGATTTGTATAGTGGATCAAGATCCCTTTCAATATGCTTACTCTTTAATTTTCTTTTTCTTTTTTACGGATCATCTAAAATGAATGAGAGATCCACTTTAATGATTTGTAATTGGCTAAAAAAGAATTGTTTAAAAGAGATCTTATTCCATAAATAATGAATTAGTTTAAAACTATCAAATATGTGAAGTAGCACCAAACGTTAGATTAAACAGGAAAGGGCTAGTAGAACAACCCTCCAAAAAATTATGAAGACGCTTACTAAGGTGGTATTTGATAAAATTGAAAACTGAACACTGAAAATTGAATGTTAAATTTTAAGTGTTGAAGGCTGAATTTTTTAATTCACATTCTATTTGGTATCAACAGAAATTTAAATATTGAATAAAAGCAAATTGTTTGATAAATATGAAGAGCTGAAATCTGAAAATTATTATTATTCTAATTTTGTCATTTTTTTTAACCATGTCTCTGCAACTATCTTATTCTTACCACCACATTCACAATGGTGGTGGTGACAATAATACAATGGTGGTGGTGATGGCGTAGACGCAATGATGGTGATGACGACAGTGGTGATGGTGGCAACGACACAATGGAAATAGCGGTGGTGGTAGTGATGGTGGTGATGGTAGTGATGATAATAGTAGTGGTAATAGTGATAGTAGTAGTGGTGGCACACTGGTAGTTGTGGTAACAGTGGCACAATGATGGTGGTGGTGGTGACGACAATACAATAGCGGTGACCGTGGCAGTAGTAATGGTAGTGGTGGCAGTGACAACGATGGTGGTGGTGGTGGTGGCTATGACACAATGGTAGTGGTGGTGGTAGCAACACAATGTTGGCGGCGACTGCTGCACAATAATAATAATGGTGGCTGGTGGATACTGAAAAGTTAAGAGTGTAACATGCATTCAAGTTATATTTGTCTATTATGAGAAATTAAAAAAAAATTTATTGACTAACATTTTCAGCATTAAGTGAAAAGTAGGTGGCTTGTTACTTAAAATTTTAACCTATTTTTAAGAAGTGCTTAAAATATTAAGTGATATGATTTTAGGTTATCAAACATGTTTAATTCATTAAGAGCTTAAAATATTCAATTTTAAGCCTTAAGTGGTGTTATCAAACAGCCTCTAAGGTGTGATAAGAAAAGAAATTAGTCACACACCTATCATATACTGAAATATTTTACTGTCATTATTGAGAATAATATGATTCTACATTAAAGAATGAGTTGGATATCAAATTAGCATAAGACATTGGACATTACTCGTCTTAATGTTTTGAAATTCTTTGATAAATCTTAATTGAAAAATAGATCACTTAATTTATGATGTGAATATCCATGATGATACACAAAATGGTTTATGCACAGTAATAAATGATGAGAGTCAATACAAACAAAATACAATTTAATTAATTCACAAAGTGACATACTCTACTGTGAAGGGCTAGGATGACCTGAGTATTTTATTGTTCAAAGGGCGTCGAGTGCTCAGATATGGGTGAGATGTAAGAGATGTTCTCCCTTGTGTATATAGGACTTACAATTTATAAACGTTTTCCTATAGATTGAAGCGATTTTCTTGTATCAGGTGAGGTAGTATGGTGGAGGTGGCGTCCTTCTCGTAATAGGTGAGACAATTCCGTGAAGGTGATGACGTGCGCGTCAAGGAGATCTCTTTGCCTATCAGTTATGGATTGAGTCTTTCGCCATGAAGTAGCTGACCTGACTCTCTCCCAAGATGGCACGATTGACCTATAACTTCCTCCTTCTTGTGGTGGGTCTGGCCTGCATTCTAAACTAGGTCTCGTTTGTGATTCTACGCCTAGTTTGTAATTTGGGTCTGGTCTGGGTCGGGCCCATCATTTGCTCCCCATACCCCAAGCCCCATGAAATTTGGGGGAGAGGGCATTATCAAGGATAAAATTTGTCTCATGTTTTTTACCCTTTTCCTAAGCACTAACTGTGTCTTGTGTCCTTGCGGATATTGCTTTGAGATTTGAATTCCTGGGTTGGTGGACACTCTCTGTTAATGGAAACTTATCGTTGTTTTTGACTTTCTTCTGGGGAGCTTATCTATTGCCTTAAGTCTTTAGATATTGCTCCTTATCCCACTTTGATTAGGATTTCTCATTCCAGACCGTTTTGGCTATCTCCTTTCACCTTGATTACGAGACTTCATCCAAATCTTATTGAGATTTTCGCACTTGATTAGGAGGCTTCCAAATCTAAAACTTTGGCTATAAATAGGATTCCTTCACATCAATTCTCCCAACTCAGTCTAAGAAAGAACAGAGAGAGGTGAGATGTCGAGTGGATTGGGATTGAAGGATCAAGCTATAGATAAGGCGGGTCCAAGAGACACTGAGGCACCAGGGACCAAGGCCAAGCGGCTCAGTAGGCAGGGGCGTCGAAGGCATGAACAAGGGAGCCTGGGCAGGAGGCGCAATAGGCAAAGGTGCTGAAGTCGTGGATGAGGGCACCATAGGCCCTGAGGCAAGCGAGGGCACCAAGACAGCAGGTGAAGGCACCAAGGGTGTCATGGCAGGCGCGAGTGCTAAGGTAATAGGCGAGGGCGCGAGTAGGGGTGCAGGCAAGGGCAAAAGCGTCGTGGCAGTGTCAGACGCAAGTGCGGGAGTAGGCACAACAGACTAGGCGCAGGTGGCAAACGTCGCAACGTAAGCATTTGGGCTAGGTGCCAGGAAGGAGTTGCACACGAAGCTAGGTGCTGGGCAAGCAATGAGAAGTGATGGAGATAGTGTTCCCCCACATCCACAACGACGCAAGTATTGTGGTAAGGTGGTTGCTGATGACGATGACTCTAAGGTAAGCTCTATTTCTAGCACCCTCAATATTGATGTTGAGATTACCAGATGAGCTGAGTCCTCAAGTAGAAGGGAATGCACTCAAACTACGTAGATGATAAAATAAGAGATCTCATCACCAAAACCAACTCCAAATAATCTATTATCAATCTGCATCAAATACAACAAAAGTGCATTAGCATAATTGAAAAATTATTTACTAGAATAAACAGTAAATTAAGCATATATTTAGAATTGAAAATGTTTATCAAGATGAAGTTGTCTCGCTAGTCTCCTCATTGGCCCCATTGCGTTACATCATTAACTTCACTTCTGTAATTTGTTGCAACATTATCTCTTAATGCTTTTTCATATGCTCGAGTTTTGCCTTAGTCTCATCCAATTCTCTTTGTCTAGTTTCATTTTCACCCTAAAGGGTCACTACAAATTGCCTTCAAACTTCTTACTCCATACTCATGTGTAATAGTCTTGACCACCTTTGTTAAAAAATAAAGTAGGTAGTCAACCAAATTTTGTTGTCATTTTAATGACATCACAAATAAACAAAGCAACGAACAAACATATTAAGTATT